AGGCAGTGTTAATGGGGACATCTTACGACTGAAACTATGTCTTACTTCCACTGAACCCAAGCTTCATTTCCAGAGCTCTCCACCTGGCTGTCTGAACTTCCTGATAACCTCCCAATAACTTACTTCTCAAAATACTAACCGAAGTAGGTTTCTATTGTTTATAAAAGTGAATTCTGGTGAGTCCAGCAGCCACATTTTCCAGCTGCAGAAAAACATTTTAGAGACTTAGTGCTGGCTAGGTCTGGTCATAATCCAATTGCTTTGTCTATTACAAAAATGGGGTGGCAGGGGGTGGGAATAGCAAGTAAGGAGTGGGAAATATGTGAGCGGAATGAACAGCCTTAACCTTCATTTATAAACATAAACACATAATGAAATATCACCAGTCACATGAAGGAAATCAGATGCTCCAGAGTGAAAGCAAGTTGACCAATGAAAGCAAATGACTCTCCTCTGAAACACTTTATGCAAAATGTAGAAAACTTTTAAAAACAAACTTTGTGTCCCACCAGATTCCAGAAGACTGTAGTGTGCAGCAGAAGAGACTGCAACTCCAGAGAGGTACATGCTCCTGAAGAATCTGGCTCTTTCCTTTTTTCCACTGCTCTCCATCTTGCTCTCCTCCCTAACACAAGTCATTGCACATGCTGTTCCTTCTACCTGGAATGTTCTTTCTTGCCTTCCCCTCCCAAGCCCCACCCTCCCAAATGTACAATTAATTCCCTTTCTATTCTTTAAGTTTTAACTTAAATAGCACTTCCTCGGGTTTTTTCTGGCAGAGAGAAACTCATGGATTGCAGAGAACAGACTGGGTGAGAGGGGGATTAAGGGACTGGGTGAAAAAGGTGGAGGGATTAAGAAGTGAAAATTGGCAGGTTTGATTTTTTTTTTTTTAACATCACAGGGATGTAAAACACAGCATAGGGAATATAGTCAATAGTGTTGTAATAACTATGTATGGTGCCAGGTGAGTACTATGCTTGTTGGGAGGATCACTTCATAAATTATATAAATGCGTACACCTGAAACTAATATGGTGTTGAATGTCAACTGTAATTGAAAAAAATAAATAAATACTGCCTAAAGCATTCTCTACCTTAGTTTCTCATTCCTTTGATTTTGAATGACCTTAGGGCTAAGTTAATTAAGCATTGTTCACCTCAGATTCTTCTGTAATCTGGGAATAAAAAGTACCTACCACATAAGGTTGCTGGGAGGATTAAATGAGTTCATATTTGTAAAGCACATAGAACTCAAGTACACATTCAAGCATTCAATAGATGTTAGCTATTACTTCCACCATGGCATTTATCATACAGTAAAATTTGTTTGTTTTTATTTACTTTAAAAAAAAAATCTGCTCTCCCACAGAATAAAAGGTGCATGAGCATAATAGCACTACTGTTTTATTCACAGTGCCAGATTATATATACACTAGAGGCCCGGTGCACGAAATTCGTGCACTGGGGTGGGGGCATCCCTCAGCCCGACCTGCACCCTCTCCAATCTGGGAGCCCTCAGGGGATGTCATACTGACAGCTTGGGCCCGTTCCCCATGGTTCTCTGCTCTCTGAGGGGCCTGCCTGCTCCACACCACAGCAACGGCCAGGCAGGCCCTGCTGGGTGCTGCCTGTGGGCCACACTTGCCTGCTCACAGGTGGCCGTGGCAATGGCCAAGCAGGCCCTGCTGGGTGCTGCCTGCGGGTGCACTTGCCTGCTGGGCTCACGTTGCCAGGGTGACACTGCCAGCATCCTGCCCTGGCCACTATGGGCACCGCCATCTTTGTCGCAGAGATGGAGTGACAGTTAATTTGCATATTATTATTTTATTAGCTAGGATTAAACCAAGAAAATACTTTCTGAAAATGAATAACAATACCCTAGGACAGTGTGGTGGCCATGAACAAGCTCCCCTTAGATCTTCTGCTGTGGGCAGGACAACTAACAACAGCCCAGCTACTGTCCTCTGGATCCATCACATTTGCACAGAGGCCAGGCTTTCTAAGGCTGCTTCTAGTCAATGACTGCGCACAGCAGAGTAGCAGAGCCATTCTGGCAAACTGCAGAGGGCTCCCCACTGCAAAGTCAAACCTTTCCTGGAGCTGCATTTCACGCAAGCTTCCTACCTAACCCTCTTTCCTTTCAGGGGGGTCAGCTGCACTGTGGTCTGCAAGTTCTCCCTGCCTGCCCCAGCTCCCTCCAAACTAAACCTCTTGCACATCTAATCCTGTGTTTATGTCTGCTTCTTGGTATACCCAACTAACACAATCAGGATCTCCAGAAACAAATCTTGAGGTGAGAATTTGTGAGCAAATGACTGAAGGTGGTCTCAAAAGAAACTAGTAAGGGGAAGAGAAAACATTAATACCGTGTGGTTCCAACTTGACTGTTCAGCCCTCTTTCCATCTGGAACCCAATGTTAAACAGCTATCTTTCACTATGCTTTCTCCCTTCCACACTTCTGCTCATTCCATTTTCTCCCTTGGGAATATCTTTCCCATTCACCCCTTCCCACTAACTATGTCTGTTGGAATTCTTCTGGGTCCAGCTCATATGCTATCTTCTCCATGCAGGCTCCTTGACCACCTCATAGGGTAGCGATTTCTCTCTCCTTTGACCTCTTACAGCAGCTATTATCTAAGTTACTTGTGAAAGAAATTGTATACATACTATAATTGTTTCTTTTATGTCAACCAAACTAAGAGCTCCTCAAAACAGGAATTAAGCCTTAACCGGTTTGGCTCAGTGGATAGAGCATCAGCCTATGGACTCAAGGGTCCCAGGTTCGATTCCGGTCAAGGGCATGTACCTTGGTTGCGGGCACATCCCCAGCAGGGAGTGTGCAGGAGGCAGCTGACCGATGTTTCTAACTCTCTATCCCTCTCCCTTCCTCTCTGTAAAAAATCAATAAAATATATTTTAAAAACAAACTAACAGGAATTAAGCTTTATTATTTTGTTCGTATATCTATTCTTCTTTCCATGAATACTGTCCATGGTGTACAATGTACCCAACAAATGTGTGCTGAGTAATAGAATTCTAAGTGACTGGGCTTTGATGGGTAAGTCAATAAACTCCAGCTCTTCTTATGCTTAGATTTTTGTAAAAACAAAACAAAAAGAAAAACAAAAAACACAACAATTGTTTTCCTCTCTCAGGTCGTAGTTGTGCGCTAGACAGTTAATGATCATCTGTAATATAATTTGTGGTGAGCCGGCACAGCCATGGCATACTCAGCCCCAGGGCGCCTTATGTGCCATGCCAGCTCAGCCTGGTTCAGTGACCCTGACAGGGGGCGGTGAAGGATTGAGAAAAGACAGACAAGAGAATGAAAGCTGGGTCTCGGTGGGACGCTGCTTCTCTGATGAGGAGACAGTGCCAACACCCACAAGCCGTTTCTTTATTTTATAGCTGATGCCACGAGGGAAAGTAAGGGCGTGACCAAGACGTTTACAACAGTCTCGTGGGTTTCGATCCTACTCAACTACATGCACCTGAACTCTATCACTCTGGCACGTGGGGTCACGTGTTCAGACCACAGGTTCAAGCTTACAACTACAGCTGTTGGCTACCATTGTGCTGGGAAGGCTTTGGCTGGGACTTGCACGTGGCAATGAAAGGACTGTGCCCTCTCCACAGGCCGAGGCTTGAACCTGTCCAAAACACTGTGGCTGCGCCCCACGATAATTCCCTTACAACACCTACCTATTAAATCAGTTAATACCAGTTTATTTTGCCAATTTTGAGATTTGTTATACAATTAAACCTGAATGATTCTGTTGATTCTAAAAAAGACTGCAATGCTCAAGGTAGCCGTCACTTTTCACAATTCCCCCTTACAGGCAACACTCTGCAAAGTTACCTTTTTGTTGGCTTCCTGTATTCCCGTTAGAGGCCAATGAAGCTTAGGTAAACACACCTAACTTTCTTCTTTTAGGGGAGTAAGAACTGGCAGAAATTTCTTCGCATTTGGGTCAATACAAAATTTCTCTCCCCACAGCATAATTCCAACTCAGAAAGTTACTGCTACCTGGCTTCTCCTTGGCCAAGCCTCTCCAGGGAGAGGAGACAAGGGAGGGAATTGAGGGGACAGGGTTTTGCAAGGGGTGCCTCTACCCTGCAGGCAGCGCCACCCATCCTCCCGTAGCACAGAATCCTGCCTGAATCCTTACACTGCCACGCAAGCCACACTTGCATGCATTATTTTATTAGCGCTTCTCAAGAGCCCGTGACACAGACGACATTTCTATGATCACGGAAGAGCGAGCTGCCGATGAGCTACAGCTGCCCATGACCTAACTCCACGGCTGATGCGAAGTCCGGACTGAGGCTCCTCCTTCCGCGGCAATGACTGCGGCCGGCAGCCCGCGGCCGCGGCCCCTACTCCCCCCGGAGCTTTCCCGGATAACCCGCCGGCCTCGCGTTCTCCCGCAGCGCTACCTCCCTGCGCGGTCCACGGAGCCGTAACCAGCCCGGCCTCCCCAAACCGGAAAAGCCGCCCCGGTGCGCGCCGCGGCCTATTCCCCGCCGGGCTGCGCGGAGCTGACAGGGCCCGCACACGCCGTCACCCCAAAGGCTACCCCCGAACCCGGACTTGGCCTTGAGCGGCTGCCTCCATCTCCCAACGCCCACCTGAACTTGGTCACCACGGACGCTCCCGGTCGCCAGCCGCCCCGCCCCTCGGCTCGCGGGCCGCTCTAGCCGCACACGGAGGCGGCCGTCTCGCTGCTCCCGCCGCGACGTCATCGGCCTGCGCCGCAGCGCGGTGGCGGGCACGCGCAGCCGAGAAGATGTCTCCGACGCCGCCGCTCTTCAGTTTACCCGAAGCGCGGACGCGGTTTACGGTGAGCGGGCTGCAGGAGGGTGGGAGCTGCGCCCGGCGCTACTCATTGCCCTCCTCTCCCTGCGACTATTGGGATTTTGCCCTGGAGTGAAGGGGGGTACGCCGCAGCGTAGGCTTTCGACCCCGTCGGGGGCTGGGAGGGGGGAACGCGCCTTACCTGCCTCTTCCGCACCTTTGCTGCCGGCTTCGGCCACCCCGCCGGCCGGACCCAGGACCCCGAGTTCCGGGCGCCCAGCGGGAAGGGCTCCTCTGCGGACGGAGCTCCGCACGGTCCAGCTGCTCCGCGGCGCACGCTGAGCCGGACCTGTGTCTCCGGAACTGGGAGGGATGCTGCTGGGAGGCGAGGGCCGCCGCGGCTTTAACCCAAAGGCTGGCTCCCGCCCCGCCCCCTCGCTGCCAGGTGGTCCCGCCGCGAACTCAGCGGACCTCGAACCCTCCGCACCTCCCTCCTCGGAGAGGGTTGGAGAGAGTCTCAGGGGGAAAGGAAGCGTGGCCAGAGGTCATCTTATTCTCAGGCTGGGGAAGAGTAATTTTCGCATTTGAGAAACAGCTTACGTGAGCTTATGTACCTCTTACCACTGTTAATTAGACTAACTTTTACGATTCCTCGTAGATGAGGTAGAAACTGAGACAAACCTCCCTCATCCCCGACCCCCAAAAGTGAAGTGATTTACTAACGTGGTGGTTTTTTCCTGGCTTCAAACCCAGTACTGCTCTTTTTATGTTGTTCATACATCCCCAGCATGAAAAATCCTGTTTGAATTTGCCTTTAGCGTTTGCGCCAGTGTTTCAAGGCATGATTTAATGCTTAGGTATTTAACAGTGCCTGTGTACTTACAGCGATGCCAGAATGAACATTCTATGAAAGGAATTTTTTTTTTTTGTAGTAAGAATTTTTCTTGTGTGCAAGTTATTATTACTTCTTTACCATACGGTATGGGGTTTGTTTCTTTTTGCCAGAGTAGATCTTGTTTATGTCATAGGAATATTTTCTTTCTGTGCATTTTGCTCTAATCTCTGGTGCTTTGAAATTCTGCTAAGAGTAATTGCTAGGAATATCCAAGATCATCACAGTAGCCCTGGAAAGGACCACTTAATTGGAGATCGTCTCTAGGATAGTGCTGCTTCAGCCTCGGTGTGCGGTGGGATCACCTACACCAGTGGTTCTCAACCTTGGCTGCACATTAGAATCACCTGGGAATCTTTGTAAAATCCTGATTTCTGGGCCCCATCCTCGAAAATTCTGTTTCTTTGTTACTAATGTTGTGGCCTCACTCCATAACAAAGGAACAGAATTTCCGGAGGATGAGGCCCAGAAATCAGGATTTAAAAAGATTCCCAGGTGATTCTAATGTGCAGCTAAGGTTAAGAACCACTCATAGAACAACCCTCGTATTTAACTGGTGAGGAAAATGAAGCATTAAGGGATTTGACCAAGATGACAGCCTGATCATGGCAGATTCAGGAATGGACATTTCCAGTATAAATCTAATTCCTGTGAGGTTAATACAATGACTTTTTAAGTGTATGTGAATTTTCACAGAAGGAATGACTTGGCAATATTTTTGTCTTTAAATTATGACTACTTTAAGACAATCAGCAGGTATGTATTCAGTATTTACTGTAGTGAGGGACTGCTGAGTAAGCTACCTAGAGATGACAGGACTTGAGATGGGTCCTGAAGAATGGATAGAATTTGCTTGGACAGGTGGGAAAAACAACATGGAATGCATGAATACACTAGAGTGCGCTTGATAGAAAATTATGCAGGGAAATGGCTAGACCTTAGTGGAGACTGTGTTAGGAGGAGTAGGAAGTAAGACTGGATAGATTAAATGGGATATCATAGGACCTTGAGAGGAGATATAAAACTTCAAAACCAAAATCTGTAAATAAGGAGCCATTGGAAACTTTAAAAATAAACGGAATAGCCCTAACAGGTTTGGCTCAGTGGATAGAGCCTGCGGACTGAAGCGTCCCAGGTTTGATTCCGGTCAAGGGCATGTACCTTGGTTGGGGCACATCCCCGGTAGGGGGTGTGCAGGAGGCAGCTGATGAATGTTTCTCTCTATCCCTCTCCTTCCCTGTAAAAAATCAATAAAATATATTTTAAAATAAATAGAATATACTCATGAATGTAGTATTTAAAGAGATGATAGGAAGGAAAAACTGGAATGAGAAAATCAATCTAGAAAGATCTTGCCAGGTTTAAAGTAATGAGAGTCTATCAGAAGTGGCATTTGAATAAGAATTACTAACAGAATGACTGATAGGTAATTTTTCCCAGTTACAAACATTTTTTAGTTAGACATATTACTAATGAGTGACATGTTTTTCAGTAAGTAATAAGCAAAAATCTTTTCAATTATTTGCTATTTTTATTTTTCTAGAAGTCTACCAGAGAAGCTCTGAACAACAAAAATATCAAGCCATTGTTGAATACCTTCAGCCAGTTACCTGGAAGGTAAGGCATTGATATCCCTAAAATACATTGCCTAAATCTTTATACTTACCCTGAGCTGTTTTAAAAATGCAGGTATCTTTTGTTTTTAATAGTGAAAATGAAAAAAAATGTACCCTTGACCAAGCTTTCAGAGGTGTTCTAGAAGAAGAAATTGTAAGTATAATTTTATTAAGATTTTGCTGGCAAATTAATTAGGTCATTTAAAATTTGCTTTTATTCTTAGAATGAATATTTAAATATGATTGCTTTTTCTAGAGTGAGCTTGCTACTTTGTGAAAGCTGCCTTGACAATAGTATAGGAGTAATGTAACAAGGCTTTTGGCAGCACAGGTGCAGTAAAAGGGTTTGGTTTAATAGATGAAGAGAGCCTTCTCCAGGTGAACAGTATGGGAGAAGTTGATACTAGGTCTTCCTGAGCAAGAACGGGGATTTGAAGTTAGGTCTCTCATTTTGCTGTCTGGACAGTGTGACACATTTTGTAGTTGCACAAGAAGTCCAGTCCAAGGATGTTGAGCATGGGAACTGGGGTTCCATGCTCTCATTTTCTTATGTCATCCTTCTCATCAACATAAAAGAATAACTGGCGCTTGTCTAATTTCAGTTGATAAATTTACTCTAAATATGGAAAATCTGAATTGATTTCACATTAGTGAATAATAAAAGAAAAAGTTTCAAAAGTTTATTCTTGGTTAAGTGAAGGTTAGGTCCCAAGAAGGTAGATCTTTTTCTTGTGGCAATAATAGTGTCCCTTTCTGCATCAAAATTCACTCTTTCCTCTTCTTCAGACCTATTCATTTACCTTTTGTGAGGCACCAGGCACCTTACTTTGCTTTTCTGGGCCTCAGTTTCTTTGTATGAAGGCAAATGACATTCTTTCAACGTTATTGTGTAAAATGACAGTTAATGAACACACAATAAATGCTGGATTTTATGGTGTTATCAAACCTAGGTACTACTTCCCTTCTATTAAAACCTTCCCTCAGACATATTGATGTACCAGTACAATTCATTCCTCTGGCTCTGCCTTTGCCTTTAATTGAGTTATGGCATCAGCACTTCTGTGCTTGATTAGCTTACAGGCTTAATCATGCTAATGAAACCATTTTTGTAAGACCATTGGATTTTAAGTGAATTGCCTGTTTATTATTTACTTAATATATTTCTAGATTAGTAATTCTATTACTACCCATTTTTTGTATTTTCATCTTAAAAATAATTTTATCTTCTATGAGAAATAGCTTTATCCCATATTTGTGATAATCAGTTTAATGACAGGGTATGTTTTTATTGTTAGCAAATTAGTCTGAACTCTGGCTCCTAAATTAAATTGTTTTCTCCTCTGTTGGTAGATAAATCACTCATCGTGTGAAAATGTTTTAGCTATTATTTCTCTTGCTATTGGGGGAGTAACTGAAGGTAAGTATGTGTTTTATTTTTTAAGAAATCTGGGACACAATATGCTTTATTTAAAACTTATTCTCAGCCCTGGCCAGGTTGTTCAGTTGGTTGGAGCATCATCCCATATGCCAAAAGGTTTCAGATTTGATTCCCGGTCAGAGCACATACCTAGGTTGCAGGTTTGATCCCCAGTAGGTCAGGGGCATATGGAAGGCAACCGATCCATGTATCTCTCACATTGGTATCTGTCTCTATCTGTTTCTCTCTCCCTCCCTTTCTTCCTCTCTCTCTAAAATCAGTAAACATATCCTCTAGTGAGGGTTAGAAACAAACATATTCATCCCATACCTCTCCATCTATCTGATACTGTTCATTTTTCAAGTTCTTACCACCTTTACCAAGAAGTTAGACCAATGAAAGTAGCTCACCTTTATTTTTCAGTATGTAGCACACGTTTTAGTACTTTCTTTGTTCTCCAGTTGTTTCATTCACTTGTTAAATACTCTATTTTTCCATGTAAGATGCTATTTTTTTCTAAAATCGTTAGACTGAAATTCGAGGGGCGTCATACATGGAAGTCAGCCGAGGAGGGTATGTAGCTGCCCATACCTTGTCAAACAGGCTTCCAATCATGAGCCTTATTGTTACCGACATCACCTGATGCCGTAATTGGAGTTGGAGGTGAAGACAGATGCAACAGGGACCGAGTTCTGAGCCCATAAAGATGTCAAAAAATAAAAAGATAAATACCTGTAAGCAGTTGTCTTGCTCTGAAAAATTCAAACTAAATGTAATCAACTGTGCAAAAGAGCATGGCAATAGAGCTGCAGAGAGACAGTTTGGACTGCCTACCACTGAGTGTATGATCAGTCAGTAGGGAAAACAGGAAGAACAACTCCTTAGGAAGCCAAAAAAGAAGAAGGCCCTAAGACAGGGGTGGGCAAACTTTTTGACTCAAGGGCCACAATGGGTTCTTAAACTGGACCGGAGGGCCGGAACAAAAGCATGGATGGAGTATTTGTGTGAACTAATATAAATTCAAAGTAAACATCATTACATAAAAGGTATGGTCCTTTTTTTTAGTTTTATTCATTTCAAACGGGCCGCGGGCCGTAGTTTGCCCACGGCTGCCCTAGGAGGAAAACCAGCAAAATGCTTAAAATACTGATTTCTTAATTTTGGGTTGGAAAACCTAGGGGGCGTCTTATATATGGAAAAGTATGGTATTTTCTGAGCATCTACTATGTGCCTGGTACTAAGCTGGGACTTGGAGATTCAGTGGTGAATAAAACATTTTCTGACTGCAAGGAGCCTAGTAGCTAATGGAGGAAACAGTGTAAATGTCTTACTGTGGTGTAATCACTGCGGTTGAAGTAGGAATGAAATCTGGTTGAAATACTTGAAACTTCATTGTCTAAAGGAATCAGGAATGTCTTAGAAAGGAAGCTGTCGCATGAGAGCTGGGAAGTGAGGAATGAATTTGTCAGGCAGAAACAGATGGGATAGTTATATGTAAGGGCCCACTTCAGCATGGCTAAAGAACTGCAGCAGGGGAGTGAGAGGATGAGGAACACGGTAAGGAGAGACACAGGAAGCATAAGTTACTGTCTTCTGTGAAGTACTTTGTATACCAGGCTAAAGAGGAGCTATGGACGAAGAGTTGGGTTGGGAGAGACTGCTGGCAGGGAAAAGTAGATAGGGGACTCCAAATGGGACAGTGGCAGGGGAGGTAGTTTCAGGAGATTTTTTTAAAAGGCTTAGTAAGTATACAGTGCCTAATACATAGGAGCTCGTTAAATATTTACAGAAAGAAGCAATGAAAAAATAGTTGATCTGGTTAAACTTTTCCTTCGATTAATTTAGGTAATTTATGTGAAATGCCTTTTAATGTACAAAGCATTTAGTCACATTATTATTTTGATATTTATTCCTACAAAAACTGGAATATACATGGTAAAAGTGACCTAGTGTAGTGGCAAGCTATTTTGTGAACTCAGCGTAATTCTTAAATTCTGACTTTTCATATTAAATTTTTATATAAAATGCTTATTTATTCACTTATTCATTCAGCATACTTTAGTGAGTTCTAAAATGGACTGTTCCTTGCCTAGCTCCTCTCAGCAGCATCTGCATAGTTCATTGAGTACGTTGAGTACATTGATGTGTTACTCTTGTAGACTAGCAACGTTTTTAACACTTGAAGTTGTACAAAGTCTATATTTAGAACTTTTACTTTATTTGAGAAAGGTGAGGACTTACGATTTTAGTTAAACTGTAAATAAATGCTTTTTTAATTTTAGTTTGACGAGGAAAATTCCTCCTTAAAAGAGAATATAGTATTGTTTATGTATGTGACACATTTTCAAATTGTCCATAGTTTATTAAATTCAACTCAGCA